TGGAACATTTTTATTGAAAATGTTGAATTGCGAAAAGCTAGCGACAATTGAGTTGCAACTTTTTATGAAAAATGTTGAATTTGAGGTGTGTCCCTTCATCCACAACATTTCATCTTTTATATATAGGACCTCTTAGACATGTATTTGTCATTTCAATTCATTCCATATTATTCATTTCATGTCAAGTTACATAAAATACTTTGTAGAAGTGATTATGCCTTGCATCAAAGTCATGATTATGGTGAAGAGGGAACTCCGTTCGAGTTCGTTGGTCGAAATTGAGTGCTCCTATGGCTTGATGTGGTCATTGTATTTTGAAAGATGAGTGTCAAAAAATCTTTAGCATCGTTGTGAGGCCAATTCATTTTAAGAATGAAGTGTCAAACACTTGCCTCGACCAAAAATTCATCATTTGCATCTTTTTTTCTTCATTTTTTGATTTCTCTTAATTATGGTTTGATTTCAGAAATTGATTAACATTATTTACATGTTTGTTCTGCGAGATTTGATTCAAAGAATTACCTGCTTACATTCAAGAGTTGAAAGAGATGAATCCATATTCATGCATTCGGATTTGGTAACTTCTGTGTTTTGTTTCTCAAATTCTATTTCAATAAGTCGAAATTACGTTTCGATTGCATGCAAATAAAGGGTATGCTTTTGTGAGTATAATTTGCATATTATCGGTGTAATTCACCAACAGCAGATGCTATCTGATTCACATGCTGTTCCAAATTCTTTTTAGAAGCTTGGTGGTTCTAAAGTTAGTCTTAGTCTTTGTAACGTATTTAGTGAGCAAGTCCTCCAACATTGGCTTTCTATCGTCAGGTTACTGTTGTTGAAAACCAGGTGGTCTTCCTTGATAATTCCCTCATTTCCCTTGGCCTTGATTGTTGGTCCATGAAATATTATGATAATTACTCCACCTCGAATTGTATGTTTTGGAGTGAGGGTTGTATTGCTACCACTAAATTTTTTGTGCGTAAATGGAAGCCAACGGGCAACTTGTAATTGTATGATTTGTCCCCCCATGCAAATCAATTTCGACTGGTTTACTATTTTCATTGTCTGAGATATGTTGTTAAGTTTCTTTATCAACACTTCCATCTACGCTACTAGTGTTGTCACTCCATCAATATTATGAATCCTCGCTTTGTTTTTAGGAACATCCCTATTGGTGTGTCACATAGACTAATTCTCTACAATTCTCACACAACTCATATGCACTGTTAATGAGCAAGATCTATATGTGTAGACCTTAATTTATGTCTAAAATTGGGTTTGAAGAGGACAAGGAACCATAAATGTGATCAAACTAGAGTTTCCTAAATTTCTAAAAATTAATCCTTTCATGTGCAATTTGGTTCCCATTTCTTCTTTATTGTTCAGATTAAGTCCTTGGATATTTCAATTAAGTCTTTCAACATTTAAATGTGACTTCTTGGTTCCGAACTTTCAAAATATGTCTAATTTTACTCTTTTTTTGATGAATTATTGCTCATTTTCATCTGTTCTAGTCCAATCCCAGATTTTCTCCTAAAATAATCAAAGAACAAATAAAGTTAAGTATTTCGTTCATAAAAATTACTCTCAAAAGTCACTTTTGATGGTTAGGATAAGTGTAGAAATGGAGTCAACAGTTGCTTATTGCTTAATATATAGTCTAGAGGTGAAATTGTTTTGCCACTGATATTGAAAGTTATTCATTAAAAGAAAAGAAAACCTGGAAATTTACATTTGGAAGTAATTTTTATAAAGAGAATGCAATACAAAGAAGACGACAAACCCAACTCTGCAATCAAAAGAGCTGGTAACGGTTTAGGCAATGAGGTTTTTTCAGCTAATATTAGGCTCCCGAGTTCGTCCCACTAATATCCTCTAATATCTTCACTACCTCTGACATTTTTGGTCTATGCTCGGGAACCCTTTTAACACAATCCAAGGCTATCTGTAAAACCTTCTTCATTGCTTTCTCGATTTTTTGAATCCTCAACAACTTTATATCGAACACTTCTGCAGTAGAATCCTCACGAAGAACAGAAGCAACCCACCTCACTAGCTTAATGGTCTTTTTATTACCTTCAGAAAGTATAGATGGCTTTCCAGTAAGAAGTTCGAGTAGCACGACTCCAAAACTGTAGACGTCAGAAGCTTGCGACAATTTTCTGGTGTCTGTGATTTCTGGGGCGGTATACCCTGAAGATCGACTGCGTAGCATCGAGGTTTCACTCACTAATGTTGCCAATCCGACATCTGAAACACAGCCATATCCCCGACTAGTGAGGAAAATGTTTGAGGCTTTTACATTTCCATGTACAAGATCCTGACCAACTTTTGTGTGGACGTGAGCAATACCCCTTGCTGCCCCAACTGCAATTCTTAGTCGGCTTTCCCAATCAAGAGAAATTTTATTCACACCAATTTTTCCTGTAAAGACGATAAAATTCATAAGATTAGAATCACTTGCAAAAATATTATCTACGAAGGGTTACCATTGTATTTCTAAGATTTCAATCCAGACTGCAAGTGAATGGGATAACAATGTAACTGAAAGAAAAGGTTTCAACATATTCTAGTAATGATAAATGAAATCAAATCTAAATTCCATTAGTATTTCTAATTACTCTCTGTAGAGCCAAGTGCCAACAAGAAAGATGGATTTAAAATTAATGTTGTAGTCAAGGGATTGTAATTTCAAGATGTACATGTCATATGAACAAAGGGGCAGTAAGATATTTCACTTACCATGTAGCATGGAAGATGCACTCCCAGCACCATAGTAATCATACACCACAAGCTTATGATCACGCGAGTAGTAGTATGCCATTAACGTAGCAACATGTTGGTTCTTCATTCTTCCAAAGACCTCCATTTGTTGCCCAAATTCTTGTCTCGTAACTATAACATTCTGCAATCTCTTTACCACAATTGTAATTCCATTTTCCAGTGTTGCCTTAAATGAAGTTCCAAATGTTCCGTTCCCAAGAACCTCAGCATTAGACCTCATCATATCTTCAAATTTAAAAACAGGGCGAACAAATACCAGCCTAGAAACCTCCTCCTCAATAGATTTTTCTTTCTTCTGCAAATTTTCAATTGCTGATGGAGGTAGCTGCTGATATGGAAATGAACCTTCAGGAATTGAAAAATCATAAGGTACATCAAGGACTTGAGAGTCCAAACTGGAATCAGACAATATGGAGCTGACACTTGGGCTCTGATCATGAAACATTTGCCATAGTTCCTCTCTTCGGATCACAGCTCCCACCAATCTATCCCAATTATCATAGACATTTGACATCTCTCTTCCACCTTCCACCCTGAAGATCCTTTAGAGAACCTTGGTATTAATGAAAATGATCAAAGTCAGCAGTAGAATTATTGAACAATCAGCCCGTAATCGATAGAAATTATACTGTTGACATTAACCATGCTGGAAGGCCTATTTTCTTTTCATTAAAAAATTCTATTGTCTCATTCATATGTGCTGAATTTCATTTTCATGTGTAGAAAAATGCAAATGAATCCTTCCAGCTCCAAATGTACAAATGCAATCAAACAATACGTCCAATGAATATCAGTATAGGACAATGTTCGCGAAATTATTTCTTTCGATTTTAAATCACCGCAAGTGTACGGTTCGTTAACAAGTAATAAAGTGGATTCAATGAGTCCGAATATCGTCCCACAGAGATTGATTAGTTCAAATTTTATCTACCTTAGCTTTAACCGAAACTAAATTACCAAAGTGGATGTAGATCTAATTGAACCTCAATTATGTAATTTTTTTCTTATGATTAAATTGAAATTAATGTGCAAAATAATAAATTAAACTCGAGAATAAAATCTAAAAGTTGAGAACGCACTTGTTATAATTATTGGGAATGAAATACGCTAGGATCACGAATTTCTATGCAATTTTCGCTTTAAATCCTAGTTTCACAATACGACAACACATTTCGATTTTGACGAATCAATATTCCTAAACATATCCAATACTCTCTCTCGAGATGTATCAAACCTATCTCTACATACCACCGATCTATATTTCTATGACAAGAGCATATGTAAAAATGCATGCAATTTTATGAACATTTAAAGATTCACATAGAGCATAGCGTTATATTTCTATCCACTATCGGACCCTACGATAATTTATATTATGTCAAATCTATTCCAATTCTCTCGAATGCAAGAATAAATCACTTAAATTCACACAATTACGAGCTTTTAATTACGGAAACATTTAATTGCATATAAATCATTCAACATAATAGAAATTGTGTCTTACATCAAATTGCAAAACTAGAATATTAAAATTCAAATCACATGGTTTATCGATCTCCTAGCATAAATAAATCTAGCCTAGCATGCTCAAAATAACAAAATACATCAAGGTTTGTATATAGGACATCACCGGGTTATAAAACTTGAATAAATCTTGAAGTTCTTCGTGTCTATCTTTGTTCTTGCGCTCAAATCCTCTTCAAGAGTTGTTTTTTGGCCTCCAATTACGTTCTGGGCGTCTCTGGAATGTTTTTGATATTTATACCCCATGGAAAATTAGGTTACCATAGGTATTTTAATCGTATAAGGAAAGAAAATTTTCGCGCTGAATTTGTACCATGCGACCGCATGGTTTTAATCCGTGCGGCGCATGGTTATCATCTTTTTTCATTCTTAATCCCTGCATCACTTCGTGCGGCCGCACGACTTTTCTACCATGCGACCGCATGGTAGAATTTATCTTTTAGTTCCTACAATTTGGTCCCTTCACTTTAATCTTCCACTTTTTTACATATTTTCTTCATTCTTCACATTCCATCATCCCAAAATGTCATCAATTCGTATTTGGTATACTCAATTTCTTGATTTGCTCATCGGGTCAACTTTTGAGTAACTGCACCTTGGTCCTTGAACTTTCACTTTGTGTCATTTTAGTCTTTTTTCG